AGAGTCTTGCTCTGTTACCAGTTGGAGTGCAGTGGCGTGATCTCAGCTTATTGCAACCTCCACCTCCTGGGTTCAAGCAATTCTCCTGCCTCAGCCTCCTGAGTAGCTGGGACTATAAGCACGTGCCACCACACTCAGCTAATTTTTATATTTTTAGTAGAGACGGGGTTTCACCATGTTGGCCAGGATAGTCTCGATCTCTTGACCTCGTGATCCACCCGCCTTGACTTCCCAAAGTGCTGGGATTACAGGTGTGTGCCACTGCACCCGGCCTGGCCACACTCTTAAGGACACATAGAAAGCTATTTTCATCTTTTTTATCCCCAGTGTTTAGCACAGTACTGGTCCTGTTTTAAGAGGGAAATGGATGGGTAAGTGATTGCGTTAGCATAATTCTTTAAGTGCTGTGATCAAGCATTGCCAGCTATCTTTAAGGGTTGGAAAACTCGCTGGATCTGAATGGCTGGATGGTCTTAGTTCCTGGAAGAGCCTCAGCTCTTCAGAAATAGATTTAGTAACCTCTTCCACTGGTGGTCCAAATTTTGAATAAGAGATCTTTCTTACGCAGCTGCTTTTAATACCCTTTTTAAAAGGGTTTTATCTTTTTTGAGTTGTAGACACCTATGTCATTCTGGTGAAAATAAGGACCCCTTGTCAGAATATTATTTTCAAATGCATTATATGAAATTCAGACTTACAAAAGAAGACTTACCAATAATATTAAAATAAATTAACAACATATTTTATGTTGCTGAAGAATAATATATGTGTTTCATCATTACTGTATCAAATAAAAATCTAATGGCATGTCTAATAAATACCATAACTTAAAAGTAATGATGAGCTTATATTATGGGATATCTGAAACCTCTATAATGTAATATAAAAATGTCTCATTTCTATTGATGATGAAATCACAGGTTTTACTAATGTCTTTTTTTTCTACATTTATAATTGAGGGCAATGCTAAACTTCAGGGGTTAGTGAAAATACAGATACAGATTTTTACCACAAAGTTAACAAATTGCCTGAATCTATCCATGGACTCCAGTTTCTGAACCTTAAGTTAAGAACACTTGATATAGATATATACATTAAATGATAAAAAAGGAAAATGAATAAAACAAGATAAATGAAAACATGTTAATATACATAAAAATAAAGTAGAAAGCCCGGGCATGGTGGCTCACGCCTGTAATCCCAGCACTTTGGGAGGCAAAGGCAGGCGGATCACAAAGTCAGGAGATCAAAACCATCCTGGACACCATGGTGAAACCCCATCTCTACTAAAAATACAAAAATTAGCTGGGCGTGGTGGTGTGCTCCTGTAATCACAGCTACTCTGGAGGCTGAGGCAGGACAATCACTTGAACCTGGGAGGCGGGGGTTGCAATGAGCCCAGATTGCGCCACTGCACTCCAGCCTGGCAACAGAGCGAGACTCTGTCTCAAAAAAAAAAAAAAAAAAAAAAAAAAAAAAAAAAAAAAAAAAAAAAAAAGGTAGGAAAAATAAAGCATTCTTTGCCATAATTAACAAAAAATAATGATAATGAAGTAAACCAAAAGATACATTGTACTTCTATGGACAGTAGAAGGCCTGTTATCTAAAAATTCATTTCCCTGATGATGGTTCACTCGGGATAAAGGTGGAGAAGAGAGACCAACACCTTGGAAGGCTCTTTCCAGAGAGATGCCTTCACCAGTGTCAGTCCTGTTTGCTTTTTACTCTTATCTTTTTGCTTAGATAACTTGTCCTTCCCCTGTTGTATTGTGGTATGGAAGGAGACTGACTTCATGTCCTAACTTTAAATTTGTGCCCAACAAAGACTTTTACCTTGGTTTCCCTACACACAAAATGGATAACATAATGATTTTGTGCAAATCATAAATCAGTGAACTAAGGTACTGTAAATCACAGTGTAAATGGAAAAGAACTGTACAAATACAAACTTTGTTTCCCAAGCCACGTTATCAGTGATTCTGATATATACCCAACCTCCAGAAATTCAGTGAGATTTAGAAACCTTTTTATAATGATGGGAATTCCAGAAATGTAAAATAACATCACATTATCATATTTTGCTACTTTTAGAGTAGAAACACCTTTCACATGTAAAATGGAAGCATTGTATTAAAATTTCAAACATTTTCCGTAAGAAGGATGGCTTTTTTTGCCCGTAATATACCTAATTTGCATGTGTCAAGCAACTTATTCTATTTATTAACTGAAATAATAACTATATGCTATGTCAAGTCCTGTAAGTACTAAGATAGGTGAAGAAAAACAAATAACTTTAGGCTGGGTATGGTGGCTCATGCCTGTAATCCCAGCACTTTGGGAGGTCTAGGCAGACAGATTGCCTGAGCTGAGGAGTTAGTGACCAACCTGGGCAACACGGTGAAACTCCATATCTAATAAAATACAAAAAATTAGCTGGGCGTGGCAGCAGGCGCCTGTAGTCTCAGCTACTCAGGAGGCTGAGGCAAGAGAATCGCATGAACTCGGGAGGCAGAGTTTGCAATGAGCCGAGATCACACCACTGCACTCTAGCCTGGGTGACAGAGCAAGACTCTGTCTTAAGAAAAAAGAAAAACGAAAAGAAAAGAAAGAAGGAAGGAAGGAAGGAAGGAAGGAAGGAAATTTTAAAAAACAGGCTATCATGAAATATGTGATAGAGAACAAGTGGTTGTTTAACATTTTTAGTTATTTCAAATCTTGCCATATCTGCATCTTTTTAAAAAACAAAATAGTTTATTATATAATAGTAATTTCTATCTTTGTTTTATTTCAGTAATAACTAGTTGTAACTACTTTTTAAATCATTTAAAAATAATGGAAGTTTACTGTATGCCTTTAATTCTTACAGCTTCATGAGATAGGTATTATTATTCAGTTCAGAAGAGTTAATGCCTTTGCTCAAGTTCAAACAGCAAATAACTGGAAGAGCCAACATTTCAAATCTGGTGTTTTTTCCATAAGACAATTTGTAATTATAACGGAAGAAGAAAATTTACTGATTTCCCACATGTGTTCTAGATGCTTTCCTCTACCTTATCTCATTGGCCTCACTGTGTGCTAAGAATTGTTAGCCCATTTTACAGATGAGCAAAGCGAAGCTCTGAAAGCTTAAGGGACTTAGCCAAATACTAAGTGATAGAATTCAATCCAGTTTCACCATCTTCTCTCCATATCATATTGTCTGGTGAAAGAAGCAGACAAAACAAACACTAATGAGAAAAAAATACATAGCTGCAGTTGGGTTGCATTTTGCAACACCATGAACCACACATAGAAACATGGAATGGCTAGGGGCCAGATCTGGTGGTGTGCACCTGTGATCCCAGTTACTTGGAAGCATGAGGCAGGAGGATCACTTGAGCCCAGGAGTTCAAGACTGCAGTAAGCTCTGATGGCACTACCACATTCTAGTCCGGATGACAGTGTGATACCCTGTCTCTCAAAAAGAAGAAGTAAATAAATTAAAATGACAGAATGTGGGGCGATTGGAAATATTTCTTTAAAATTTAACACTCCTAAAATTTTTCCTGGATATAAGAAACTTTTGAATCATGGAAATTTGTTAATTTGTTGAACCGGTGCTCAAATTCGTGTTTTTCCTAGGAGACTCTATGAAATGGACATTAAGCATTTAGATTTAGGTGTGTTGCTTAATACATATGTATGTTCAGTTCAGCACTGCACAGGAGACTTCCTTCTGAAAATGTTTGTTTTCCATTCCATGTTTGCAAATAAAGTGCATCCATTTAGAAAACATTTTTAAAATATTTCTTTTATATTTATAGAGATAGTATTTTTTCCCATTTCCTTTGTTAGTCATATGATTTAAAGCAGCTTTTTCTAAATCACATAAATATATCTGTTCAATGTATTGGGTTGAGGAAACATTTATTATTCTGCTAAGTATGTCATATTCATTCATTGAACAAATATACATTGAGCACCAATTATGTGCCAGACATGCCCCCAGGTGCATGGGCCTTTGAATGTGAAAAGCTAAACCTGCTAATGGTTAACACTGTGTTTTCATAAAAAAGAAAAAAAGGAATCGTGAAAAATGCACATGAAGGTAAATCATATATGAAGTCTCCGTTATTTAAAGTAGTTGAAATGTGTTTAAACTGGATTCTCATTTGTTCTAAAGGTGGAAGATCTTTTGGTTTTTTTTTTTTAGTTATTTAATAAAGGTTTATTAAGGATTTACCAAATCCATGCACAGTGCTAGACCTTGAAGATGCCAGCCCTGTATAATTTTGAGCTTGGTACAGAAGTATTACCGTTCACAACAAATCAGCCAATCCTGGCCTTCACCCATTACTACCATTCCAATCAGCCAGTATCCCTGAGGTCTTCCGAAGAACTGACTTTGGCTGCATTAGCAAACACAGGTTTCAGTGTGATTCTGATGGTGAACATTTTTTGTAGTACTTGGGGATGAGATTAACCTCCTATGTACCCTCATTAAGCTCTTATTCTTCCCCGTTCTCAGATTCACAGAGCAGAGAAGTCCTTAATGGGGTCATCTTGGACCAGCTGTAACAATTTCCAAATGTTTGCTGGTCTCTTCCCTGGATTTTCACCAGTTTAGGAAGTTAACTTGGAGAATCAGAGCCGCACTACTGAATAGACAGAGAAAATATTGGTACTCTTGACATTGAGACCTTTTCCTTCCATCTTTCCTATACCCAAACCATCCCTGACCAGTGGGACTTAATGCTCGTTTTAATGAAATGTCCCATTACAGAAATTCTTCCCTCACCTTGGTTTCTACCCCAGAACAGATTATTCTCTCACAGTCTCAGAAATACTGTTTCTTTCTGTTGACAGATCGTTTTTATTTGTCATTAAAATATAATTTTTAAGAAGCTATGCTAATTATTTTTAATATAAGAATTATTTATTGAAAATATAGCATCCATTTTAGGTGTGACATCTGCAGGCTCTTCTCTTAAAATGAAGGCTTAAATATTTCCATTGGATTAAATGTTCTCTTAGAAAAATGTTAAATGGTTTGGTTTAAATGCTAATTAAAATAATAAGTATGATCATAAAATTTATGTAACATAATTATGATCATTTTTGTTGAGTAATTTAAAAAAATTAGTTTCATAACTGATTGTCTCCTTAACAGCCCACTAGGATTTAAGAGTTAATAGATTAAACAGCATTAATTGAAATTAATTTAAGAAACAACATTTATTAAAAGGTAACAGTTCTGCTTCTACTCAGTAGGAATTTATTCATATCCCTTCATCAGCCATATCCTTTTTTTCCATTTAAATGGTAATTTATTTTTCATCTAAGTGATTAATGAGAAAGTAAGGACGGCAAGGAGCTTTCTGAGATGTAGATATTTTTGCTTGACTTTGGTTCTGACTACATGATGTACTCAGCTTTGAGTTTCACCAGTCCCCAGGTGGTTGTAGAGCCCCAGCAATGTACCAGGGACTGTGAAAGGGGCTAAGTGAGATGGTTAGGACCAACTTGCTCTTACACGGCCTGCTTTAAAAAAGATGCTTAAAGTAAGTACATAGAGGACCACAAAGCAGGTGAAGTATTGTAAGAGGCCTGAAAAAGACTCGAGAAAAGTACTGCCTGGTTTTGGAGGAAAGAGGTAAAACATTTTTTTTTTAATCAGTTTTTCTAATAACTTCTGCCGTGGTTATTTGTACTTCAAATTTTTTTAATTAAAAAAATAAGATAAAGGCCTTGGTAACGTGTAGTGAGCAGACATTACCAACACACTCTGCTCCATTGCCCTTCACCTTTAGTGTTCTGCTATCTTCCCTACTAGTGATTTTGCTCTTTTTATATAATCCCTACTTTTTTTTTTTTTACCTTACAGTGTGATGGGCAGTATATTCCTCTTCCCAGCTTGCAAGGCATAGCCGTGTTGAACATCCCCAGCTATGCCGGAGGGACTAACTTTTGGGGTGGAACTAAAGAGGATGATGTAAGTAATGAGAGTAAATAGTTTGTTTCCTCAAAAATAATTAAGTCACTGTAATAATTTGCTTTTGTAAATATGCTTATGAATTGTAATTTAATTTCATGTTAAATATTTTCCATTGGGAAAGTGAGGCATGGAAAAGATTTATTTAAGATTTTATTTGAACTGTCTCTTGTGGATATACTCTTAACTTTTCTCATGTTGAAGATACAGCTATCCATATCTTGGGATATATGTCACGATTTTCTGGATGAATATTAAAGAATCTGCTTTTGGAAAGTAGATTTATGAAATAGAGAACGGAAGATTTTACTTTTTAACTTTATATCTGCATGTGTTTTCTATAGCTGCTATCACAAGTTAAGACAAATTTAGCCACCTCACACACATTTGTCATCTTATGGTTGTATGATGATACAGTGGCACAGTCTCACTGGGCTAAAATGGAGGTGTCAGTTGGGCTGTTTCCTGCTGGAGGCTCTAGGGGAGACTGTTTCCCTGCCCTTGGAGTGTCTGGAGGTTACCCACATTCCCCTCCATCTTCAAAGCCAGCAAAGGCAGGTTGAATCCTTCTCATATGGCATCTCTCTGATCTCTGCTGCTCCCTCTTCCACTTTTAATGACCACTGTGATTACATTGGGCCCACCTAGATCACCCAAGATCATCCCCATCTCAAAGCCCTTAATTTAATCACATCTACAAAGTTCCTTTTGCTATGTAAGGTAACAGATTCACAGGTTTGGGGATTAGGACATGGACATTTCAGGGGGCAAAAAGGGGTATTCTGCCTACCACAATACCTTTCAGTACTTTTAATTTTCTTTTTCATTGTTGTTGTTCTTGAGATGGAGTCTCTCTCTGTTGCTCAGGCTGGAGTGCAGTGGCACAATCTCACTGCAACTTCTGCCTCCCAAGTTCAAGCAATTCTCCTGCCTCAGCCTCCCCAGTACCTGGGACTACAGACACGCAACACCACACCTGGCTAGTTTTTGTATTTTAGTAGAGATGAGGTTTCACCATGTTGGTCAGGGTAGTCTCGAACTTCTGACCTCAGGTGATCCACCCATCTCGGCCTCCCAAAATACTGGGATTACAGGTGTGAGCCACTGCACCCAGCCTCAGTACTTTTAATTTTCTAAACTTGTGTGTATATTTTTTTATTTTTAGAAATATCAAGAAGGTTCATTTGGCCAGTCAGGTTTAGGGCTATTTTGTTTTTGTTTTTGTTTTTTCATACTTTTCTATATTTAAAAAGAAGAAAACACAACCTCACAAATGTAATTGTTGTGAAAAGAATGAAAGAGAGGGCACAATTATTGAAGTATATATATCTCAGTAAAAATGAGAAGTGTTATCACGGTCTTTATTTGATGAGCCATATCCACTGATGTGAGTTTATGGTATAATGATATAATCATGCCTACTAATCCATTTTTCTCAAGGATCTTAAATGAACAAGTAGGGATTAAAGTATAAGGTCAACTGGAAAGTATTTTTGATTTTCATGACATAAATATATTCCAATAGTATTTGAGTTTAAAAATATTTTTTGTCAACTTGTTATTATTAAGTATTTTGAAGGGGAGAAATCAGTGAGATTAAGATAAATAAAGCCAACATTCCTTGAACACCTACAAGATAGACAATGTTCTAAGAGCTTCATATTAATTATTTAATACCTACATTTCTTATCAAATTTTTACCACTGAAGAATCTAAGGCAAAGTTTCCAGTTAGTAACAGCAGAAACAGGGTTTAAATCCAGGTAATATAATAACAAAAATTATAAGAAATCATCAATGTTAGCAAATTTGTGTCCTGATATTTTCAGTGAAAGTTTTAATTAGCATGCTACTTTATAGTGAAAATTGTTTCAGGTGCATATTATTTATGATATAGTAAAAGAGAGAATAAAAATAAGGTAATACAGCCTACATATAAAATTTTAGAGTAAATTAATTTTGTGAAAATGGATTTAATGTAAAGACAAAATAAGCCTGCTTGATTTTTATCCTCTGAGGTTTCTATTTCCATACTCTCAAGTACCCTCAAAAGTTTTGTATTAAAATATAAAGCACATATGTATATTGCTTGTAAAACCTTGAAATATTTTCCTTAGAATATATCAAGTGAACTGGATCATAATTTGCATCTTCATTGCTTTAACCTTATGAAACTATATCACCTTTCTATGAAAATGTATAACCTTTCTAATTTTTTTTTAAGATTTCCAAAACTTCCATGTATCATCTTATTAAGATGTTTGAATTAGGCATGAACATGTATTTAACATGTTTTATACCAAGATGAATTATTTAGAAATATATTAGTTAACTGGTCCGAAGAGTAAGAGTAGCTTTATGAGCGGTATGAGTAATAGATCCATGTGTGTTTGAAAACCCTTTTTAAAGCTATGTTTATTTTAAGTCATCTTCAGAGATCGTTACATATGTTATATGTTATATATAGTTATATATGTTATATATAATATGTTAAATATATATATGTTGCAGTTTACATTGCCTGATGTGTCCTTCATCTAAACATTCAGTAGAAATGTAATGTAGTTTTTCCTTTCAGATATTTGCTGCACCATCATTTGATGACAAGATCCTGGAAGTTGTAGCAATATTTGATAGCATGCAAATGGCAGTTTCAAGGGTCATTAAGCTGCAGCATCATCGAATAGCCCAGGTTGGTTTCTCTCATCAAACCTGACTGTACTTCCTGGGCAAAGGAGGGTTGGGGGAATCTATTCTAAATGACTCCTATACTGGATATTCATCTATAATATTCTGACTTTGTCATACCAGTTTTTACCATGTCATTATAAGTGATAAAGCATAAGTCTCTATTCTGTAGAATAGACTAATACTCAAGCCTGAATATAGATTATCATTTTCTCCAGATGATTTGTACTCTACAATAATTTGTTTGTTTTATTTCAGTGCCGTACAGTAAAAATCACTATATTTGGCGATGAAGGAGTCCCAGTGCAAGTGGATGGTGAAGCATGGGTTCAGCCTCCAGGGATTATTAAAATTGTGCACAAAAACAGAGCACAAATGCTAACAAGGGACAGAGTATGTAACAAAAACATTCTTGTAGAATATAGTCAAGTTTTTTTAAAATCTGAAATTGTTATTAAAAAAATAGAAAACAAGGAAACATTTAAATTGTCTCTTCAATCTGACATTTAGGCCATTGTGGTTTGGAATATTTATTTATTCATTTTAGTAAGACTTTAGTTTTTAGAGCCATTTTAGGTTTACAAAAAATTGGGCAAAAAAATAAAGAGAATGAATTATGTTCCCATATACTTCTTCCTCCCTCTTCTTCCCTACACATGTAAATTCCCCTGTTAACATCTTGCATTAGTATGGTGCATTTGTTACAATTGTTGAGTCAATACTGATTGATTATTATTAACTAAAGTCCATAGTTTCCAGTACTCTTTGATTTGCACATCTGTGGGTATGGACAAAGATATAATCACTTGTATCCACCATTGCAGACTCATACCAAATAATTTCTCTCCCCGAAAAATTCCCTGTGGATAAATAGGGTCCCTATTTATCCCTTCCTCATTCACCCTTACTTCTGGGAATCATTGATTTTTTTTATTGTCTCCATTATTTTGCCTTTCGCAGAATATGTGTTTTTAGTTAAGGTCAACCTTTACCAAACAAGACTGCCAATATTCACCCCATCTAGTACATATAAAATAGTAATGATTAAAGAATAAATTGAAACAGTAGTAAAGATTGAAGCATGAAATCATTTTTTGTTTATGTTTGTTTGTTTTTGTTTTGAGACAAAGTCTTGCTCTGTTGCACATGTTGGAGTGCAGTGGTGCGATCATAGCTCACTGCAACCTTAAACTCCTGGGCTCAAACAGTCCTCCCACCTCAGCCCAGCTAATTTAAAAAAAAAAAAAATTCTTTTTGTAGAGTTGAGGTCTCACTATGTTGCCCAGGCTGGTCTCCACCTCCAGGCCTCAAGTGATCATCCTGCCTTGACCTAAATCTCTTTTTTAAGTTTTCGTGATCATTGGCTGCACTACTTTGTGTTGCAGTACATTGGAGAATTTTGAAATGTGTTTTTTATCATTGTGATTTATTTGATGAGTCATGAGAGAAAAAGCAATTATAGGTTTATTAAAGTACACATTTACATGGACCTCTGAGTTCTAAGCTAACAGTTCATTGCAATATTGATTTTAAATAGGCCTTTGAGAGCACTCTGAAATCTTGGGAAGATAAGCAGAAGTGTGATTCTGGTAAACCAGTTCTCCGAACCCACTTGTACATCCATCATGCCATTGACTTGGCAACAGAAGAGGTGTTACAGATGCAGCTGTGCTCCCAGGCTGCAGAGGAGCTCATTACTAGGTACGGGGACTCTGCTGGCTTTTCAGACTGTGGGAACTCTAGTCTCAGCCAATTTTTGTTTTTTTAATCTTAATACCTTGTTTCAGTAGTGTTATCAAAAAGAGATACAATTACTCTTCTTCTCATAGCACTCTTTTCATCATTGTTTATTCTCCATTTTGTATACAGTCTTTACACTGTACTACCCACTTATATGTAGTCTTCTAATTACTAATTAAATGTTTATGGAATGCAGAAGGAAGTCTAAACATTAATCCTGTTCCACAGGAGAGTCAGGAGCAAAAAGAATAAAAAGACTTCAAAAACCAGTTTCTGACAAGATATTAGAGAGATTTTGAGACCACATATAAATTAATTTCTATAGACAGAAAGGAGATAAGAAAGAAGTCCTCTGAGTGTTAAACAAATAAAAATCACTTTGACCAGGGAAAACTTCAGAGGGGAGGAGGGACCATCGACTGGTGTGTTACCTCCTCTTCACCTGAGTCTTATCCACCAAATGGGGCTAATAAGACTTGTTTCATCAGGGTGTGTAAGGATTAAATGAAACTCTAGGAATGGGTGCTATAAGTACATTGTATTAGTCCATTTTCATATGGCTATGAAGAACTACCCGAGACCAGGTAATTTATAAAGAAAAAGGGATTTAAGCCTGGGCACAGTGGCTCATTTCTGTAATCCCAACACTTTGGGAGACTGAGGCAGGTGGATCACTTGAGGTCAGGAGTTTGAGACCAGCCTGGCCAACATGATGAAACCCCATCTCTACCAAAAATACAAAAATTAGCTGAGTGTATTGGTGGGCACCCGCAGTTCCAGCTCCTGGGAAGGCTGAGGCAGGAAAATCACTTGAACTTGAGTGGTAGAAGTTGCAGTGAGCCAAGATCACACCACTGTACTGCAGCCTTGATGACACAGTGAGACTCCATCTCCAAAAAAGGAAAAAAAAAGGAGGTTTAATAGACTCACAGTTACACATGTCTAGGAAGGCCTCACAATCACGGTAGCAGGCAAAGGAGAAGCAAAGACACATCTTACGTGGCAGCAGGCAAGAGAGCATGTGCAAGGGAACTGCCCTTTATAAAACCATCAGATCTTGTGAGACTTACTATCTTGAGAACAACACAGAAAAATCTCACACCCATGATTCAATTACCTCCCACCAGTCTCACCCACAACATGTGGGGATCATGGGAGCTACAATTCAAGATGAGATTTGGGTGGGGAGACAGCCAAAAGATACCACATATCACATCTGGCATATTGAGTGCTCTGTTCACGGTAACGATTAGATTCTTCCCATACCTTCATCTGGTCACTGATAAAAACGTTGAAAAAGTAAAGAAGGAAAGCAAAGCTCAGTGGTTTCAGGGGCTAACTCACATCTTTCCTCCACCCTACTATTTGCCACCTGCTCCCCCTACCTTCCTCACTCACCTTTTTAAATATTTATTATGTAACTAGAATGTATGAGATGTTAGAGACATAAGAGACATACGCCCCCTACTGCTGGACCAATATTCAGAATTAGAATGAAGTCGTATACCTGCAAAATACTGGGCAGCTCAGAAGAAAGGAAAGAGAAAATGAATATTTACTCAGCTAAACCCACATAGCTGCGTTATTGTACATCTTTGCCTCTTATCCATAGGGATGCTAGTTTTAGGGTAAATACAGCTCTTTTAGATACTATAGACAATTTCTGTGGCCTCTGATTTACATTTTTTTTAAACCAAATAATGCTTTCCGTGTTCTCATCCTGTGAACCAACCAAATAATCTTATCATAAAAAGGAAGTTGTCTAGGCTTGCTTCTGGTCAACATAGTTTGGCTCCCCATCTGTTTTTAAATTTTGCTGATGAAATCTGGCTCACTTGTCTATTTTCAGAGTTTATTCATTGACTATGCAAACATATTCAATTTTTGAGCCTCTTCTGTAGGCCAAGCACTGTTTTATGCCTGGGATACAAGATGATTATGTGGCAGCCCTACTTAATTGGCTCACAGGTTAGTAGGAGGGAGAAATGTGGCCAAAGTGTTAACATGAGACACACAGTGGGCTCTCTAGATACACAAAGGCAGTCAGAGGCAGTCAAGGAGGGCTGCCTGCAAGAAGTGACCTTTCAACCAAGTCTGGAGGGAAGAGTTAGAAAAGGAGCAATTTAAGCATGGGAACCAGCCTAGGAAGAGGCCCAGAGGAGTATGAGTGCATGCTGCTTTCAGGCAATCTCAGAGTTTGGGGTGACTGAAAGGTTGTCATAGTATATGCAAGAGTGTGGGGAATGTAGATGAAGAGGTGAAGAGGAACCAGATCTTTATTGGGCTGTTCTAGAAGTAGTGTGGAGGGTTTTTTAATTGTTTGTTTGTTTGTTTGTTTGTTTTTTGGAGGACAGCAAAGCTAGGGCAAGGTGAACACTGAGAATGCTGTAGGAATTGTCCTGATAAAAAAAATGATAGACTAACAGGGAGGGGAGCATCACACACTGGGGTCTGTTGGGGGGAAATAGGGGAGGGACAGCGAGGGGTGGGGAGTTGGGGAGAGATAGCATGGGGAGAAATGCCAGATATAGGTAATGGGGAGGAAGGCAGCAAATCACACTGCCATGTGTGTACCTGTGCAACAATCTTGCATGTTCTTCACATGTACCCCAAAACCTAAAATGCAATAAAAAAAAAAGAGATAGACTAAAGCAGTGGAGATAGAAAGGACAAGTGAGATTAAAGACAGTTTAGCATTTAAAATTGGTAAATGGGCATGAATTAGGAGACAGGATGACCTTAATGTTGTAGTGAATGGCTGGATGATTGTGGTGCCTTTGATGGAGCCATAGGGTTCAGGAAGAGCAGTAGGGATTAGAAGGAAAATGATAGGTTCCATGTTGGACTTTAGAATTTAAATTACATTAAAAATACTTACGAGATTCCATAGGCAATTAGAAATGTTAATCTGAAGTTGATTTACCTCTTTCCCTTTCTTTGAAAATGAGAATAACCTTTATCCATCTCTGTTCTTCTGAAAAATAGCTCATTCTTCATGATTTCTCAAGGTTGCTGATAGTAGTGCTGAGGTAACATTTGCAAATTTCTTTGTACTTTAGATATCCATTGTATAATTCTTAAGAATTAAATTATTTTTTTTTACTCTTGGTTCAGCTGTATTGGGCTTCTGTCCCTTTTCTTGGTCTGTCCTTTCCAGATTGAAAGTCATTCTCCATGAAGCTGTCGGAAGCAAAAACAGTATTTGAATAGTCCTGCCTTCTTGTCCATCTGCAAGCCTTACATCATTTTCTAGCAAGTGGAGGAACTTTTCCTCCTTTCTTGTCTTTGGCTTTAGTGCCTTCCAGGATTTGGTCTTTTCCGGGCTATTCTTAGAGGTTTGGATACCAGTGGAGTATGGCGCAACAGGCTTTGGAGTTGGATAGACATAGATTCAGATCCTGGCTCTACCACTTGCTGGCTCTGTATACATACCATGTCTGTCTGAGCCTCAATGTCATTGTCAGTAATGTGGAGAAAATAAGTCATAGCTACATTTAAAGGCTGTGAATATTAACTTACACACTGCTTATGATCACTTTGTGTATCAATAATAAATATGGTAATGGTCTTCCCCAATCTGTTGCATTTGCAGTTTCAATGAATGAAGGAGAAGTTTCTATTCTTTATATTTGTGATCCCTCTCACTTTCTAAGGATACTGCAAAATGAAGCATTACTATATTTCATTCTTCCAAATAGCCGTTCAGTCTGTCTTTCTTTGATTGTAAGCCTAACTTTTTATATAAAGATTTTTTATTTCATAGTTTTTGTTGCAGTGGGGTTTGGATTTGTAAATCTACCTGTGCCATTCATAATTGATCAACCATTAAAAATGTTTTCTATTCTGATCTTCATATGTTTTTTACTTGTTTTATCCTAATTCTTCTAGATTTCAAAAAAAATGAGCACTACTCAAAAAAATTTTCATTTGTTTCATTTATGCTTTTAGGATTTGTGACGCAGCCACAATTCACTGTCTTTTGGAGCAAGAACTGGCCCATGCTGTGAATGCCTGCTCCCATGCCCTGAATAAAGCCAACCCAAGGTGCCCGGAGGTGAGGATCTAATGGTAAATTCTCATTCCACAGATTATTTTGGGTGTTACACATGTATTTTAATACTGTAAAATATGCCATGCCCTGTGAAAGAAAGTTATGTCATCTGTATGCGTCTCTACAAACTTATGGTAAATTTGTGGCCAACTTTTTGTTAATTTTCCTTTTCCTGACATTTTTTCATTCCCCCTCTTAAATTCTCTCATTTTTTTATGTTTCACTTTCAGTCACTTCTTACCTTCCATCTTCCTTCACTTCTGTCTTTTTTTAGCTTTTATCATCCTTTCTTACTCCTTCTTTTACTTTTCCTTCTGTCCTGTACCTTGTTAAAGGGCAAGCCTAGATATCATCAGCATGCATTTTGTTGTGCCCTGAAATTATTCCTACTTCATTTTGTTTTGCTAAATTGGAAATTGATGCTTTTGTTAAAATTTTAATGTAGAAGTTAGAATGGATAGAATATAACTCTTGAAATACGATACATGGTGCAATGCTATACTAGAGAGAAAACTGATAGTGTTATTTTATTTTTTTGATTATTTGATTGAAATTACTTAAGTTAATATACAATTAAGTGATTGTTCTCAAGATTATGGTCTAAAAAGCAATATGATTAGTGCTACTGAGAGTAAAAGTTTTCTTTGACCTAACTTTTTATTGGGAATACGTATATGCTGGTGCTAGCATACACATATTCATCACGTAGAGGTTGTGATACTGAGTGTATTCACTGTAGTCAGTACATTCTTTTGGCTCTGTAATATAATAATGAGATAGTCATGCTAACAAATGTATGAAATTTTGCAATTATAGAATTTTGGTAGATTTTTAAATACTGTGAATTTAAGTTATAAGAATAAAATGTAAAGTATTTACTGGTAATGAAATCCTATTTTAATACAGATCACATGTCTTTGATACTCTTCTTTCCTAGAGTCTTACAAGAGATACCGCCACCGAAATAGCCATCAATGTGAAGGCACTGTATAATGAAACAGAATCTTTGCTAGTTGGCAGGGTTCCTTTGGTAAGGAAAAAAATGATTGGTAACACAAGAATGATGAATTAAATGTCTGGATCTTACCTTCATTGGGGAACATGCATCCAGCAGATTCTAAGGCAGAAGCAGCCTTCTGGCTTCCATCCTGAGAGCTACCTCTTCACCTGGCTTTTGTCTTCAAGAAAATATATGGCTGAAGTTGGGAGTCACGATTCATGCTAATAGGAGTGGAGATTTCCCCTCATATATGCCATCCTGTTTTTATGACTGCTCTGCCCCAGTCAGCTTCAAGAGACATGAACTTTGTAAAGTGTAGTAGACATTCCTCAGGTACTTACTATTGCACACAAGTAGAGGAACTTACCGAGTTTGTTCCCTGAATTAACTTTTAATATGATTTGTATGGTCCTCCAGATTTACTTAAAAGAGTACATTTTCTAGACACAGTGTTTCAAAAACTAAATTTCAGAAACTCTGCCTAGTTTAATCCAGATTGGTCCTGGAAATCAAGTTTAGGCCAAGTCTGAATCTGACCACAGCCCATGGACCTCAAGCATAAATGCTGGAAGCTATGTGTGTCCTGTTTGGTTAGCAGTGAAAGTTAGTCTTTCTTTATAAATACCTCACCATTTTCAAGTATTCTAGCATCTTGGCTCTTGCTGCCACCTAGAGTTTGATTGTGGCATATTCCCACATGCTGTTATCACTGTGTGGAAGGCCTAATTCATTTGCTGTTTTTTATTCTTTTTTACAATTCTGATTAGTTGGTAGTTGATGATCTTAAAACATTTCTTTAGACAGTAATTTTCTCTCCTGGTTGGGCAAATCTACACCTAAATAAAAGTGATACTAAGAGTCATAGTATCTGGCACAGTGGGTGAATGAATGGGAGGTGTGTCCCACACGCCTTGCTATTAAGTGCCTGAGCTTAGGGTTTCTGTTTTCACCTGTGGTCCAGAAAAGTGCCATCTTTGGGGAATGCTTTGCTCTGAGAAGCGAAGCTGAAAGGCTGCATGAAGGCCATCGCTCTTATCTACCTCCAAAGGAAACTGAAACACAACTTCTTTGGGACAAGGGGTGGCTGGCTCTACTATGGCCATGAAGAAAACCTTTTACAAAGAAACATTGGTTATCTTGTTTGATAAAACTAATGGAGCCCCTTCTTGGCTATTTTTGGCACTACTGTTTTTAACCAGAATCTTCTGCTGCTCTTCTAAAATAAGTCCTATAGAAAATCCAGTGACCTGTGAGTTGGGTTCCAATTTTTGTATTGAGAACATGTATTTTTATGTTTTTGGAAGTACATTGAAGATCACTTCTTACATCTAAAAGCATAACTTACTCTGTACTTTTCTCTAAATGAAAAGTAGCTACTGAGTACTACCTTGCTAATATTTATTATTTGTATTATGTTAATACGGAATGACTTTCCTTCTCCACTTTTAATTTCCTCTCATTGTTAAATATGAATTTTGGTTTAAAATATGTACCAATGAATTTTACCAAAACCTTTGGCAATAGTGATATCATAATAAGGAGTTGATTATATTTGAGAGCAACTGGTTTACTCTTTATTTTTAGTGCCAGAATGAATTTGTAATAACCATTTTATCAGTTTTATAAGACATATTTTTAGACTAAAAGGAAAGTAGTAAATTTTACACACAACAGGGTAGAGAATCTCCTTTTTTTTTTTTTTTTTTTGAGACAGGGACACATTCTGGCACAGTGTTGTGATCTCTGCTCACTGTAGCCTCAGCCTTCCTGGTTCCAGGTTTCTCCTGCCTCAGCTGCCAAGTAGCTGGGCCTACAGGCATGCACCACCACACCTGGCTATTTTTTTTTTTCCAATAGAGACAGGGTTTCACTGTATTGGCCAGGCTGGTCCTGAACTCCTGCCTTCAAGTGATCCACCCTTCTCAGCCTCCCAAAGTGCTGGGATTACAGGCATAAGCCACCATGCCCAGCCAAGAATCCCCGTGTTTTTAGTCACTACTAGAAGTGGTAGATACTGTGAATAACAAGGGGAAACAAAAAAAATAATGTTCATAATAACAGTAATATTATCTTGGAACTTTTAGTTCTAAAATTTTATGAACAAATTTGTAAGAACTCTATAATTTTAAAGTAATTTATAAATGCATTGATTAGCTAGAAGAGACCTCAATAATAATGTAGTCGGCTGGGCTCAGTGGCTCACGCCTATAATTCCAGCACTTTGGGAGGCTAAGGCAGGTGGCTCATTGGAAGCCAGGAGTTTGAGACCACCCTGGCCAACATGGTGAAACCCAATCTCTACTAAAAATACAAAAATTAGCTGGGCATGGTGGCATGCGCCTGTAATCCTAGCTACTTTGGTGGCTGAGGCACGAGAATTGTTAGAACCTGGGAGGTCAGGGTTACAATGTGAGCTGAGATTGCGCCACTGCACTTCCAGCCTGGGCAACAGAGCAAGACTCTGTCCCAAATCATCATCATCATCATCATCATCATCATCACCATCATCACCTTGAGTCACATTGTGCTATTTCCAGAGGAGGAAACAAAGGCTTTTGAAATCAATTAACCTTCCCTTGGTTACATAGTTCATTCATTACAAGGCCAGGAGTAGAGTCCAACTGACTGCCTACCAGTTCTGTGCGTAGGAGTGTTTATTTCATCTTTATTCATTTATTGAACTTATAAATGCATTTTAATAACTGCTTTCAATGAGTTAATGCAGATAATAGGTGAGCAGTTAAATTCTCTTTAAAGCATCCAAACCCAGTTTCAGATGATAAGCCATTGAGCTTTTTGCTTTGCCCCAATTTTTATAGGTTTTCATCACAGATGTTTTTTAAGAGTTGTGGGGATTTTTTCCTTATTCTTTAAATTTTCAAGATTTTTCTGCAGTTCTTCTTATATGACAAGTTTTTTGCTGGTTCAAAGGTATTATTTGTTCATGTAGTGTGATGACTTTTTTTTTTTTTTTTTTTTTTTTTTTTNTTTTTGAGTAGAGTCTCAGGCTCTGTCACCCAGGCTGGAATGCAGTGGCTCTATCTCTACTTACTGCAAACTCCGCTTCCCGAGCTCAAGGGATTCTCCTGCCTTAGCCTCCCAAGTAGCTGGGATTATAGGTGTCCAACACCATGCCTGGCTAATTTTTGTATTTTTAGTAGAGATGGGGTTTCACCATGTTGGCCAGACTGGTTTCATACTCCTGACTTCAAATGATCCACCTGCCTCGGCCTCCCAAAGTGCCGGGATTATGGACATGAGCCACTGCGCCTGGCCTGGTGACCTATTTAAATCAGAAGTATTTTTGGCACAAATAAGTAGAATAGTGAGACTACATACATCACAACCAGGAAGAATGGGTAGATAAATGCTTGGGAAGCATGAAGGAGAGGGATAGTAAAGAAGGCATTTACACAGAAAAAAACACACCAAAAGAATACTTTTCTATGAAGTTATTAAAGTTACAATAGCTACTCATATATGATCTTTGGGACGTAATGAGTGGATTAAATCTATCCTGATTTTTTAAAATGAAGTTAATATAAAATAATGTATTTTCTTAATATTTCTTAATTTAAAAAATATTAGCTTAATAGGAAGTGAGGCTGTTCACTGTCAAAGTACAATAATTTATTCTACTTGAGGCTGGCCAGTGAGTCTTGTTTCGTTTTGTCTTCTAATCTGGTAAATAGCAGCTGGAATCACCACATGAAGAGCGCGTATCCAATGCCCTACACTCTGTGGAGGTGGAATTACAGAAACTAACAGAGATTCCGTGGCTTTATTATATCTTACACCCAAATGAGGATGAGGTATGTCAAATTCAGCCTGTTTCTCTCGAAATATAGACCATATCACTGTAGAATTTGAACTCATCTTTGAAAAAGAGATATTTGGAGGAAAAGAATTTCGAATACTACTTTTTCAAAAGTACTGTTCTTGAGCAAGTAAGAAAAGGTATTTATATGAACAAAGGCATTTTTTGGGAATTGGGACATTTTCAGTAGTACATCATGAACGTTTTTTGAAGAAGTTATCACTGTTCTATAATGTTTAGTGTTTATAACTTATTCTCCTGTATTAGCTCTATTATCAGAGTAGGTTTTTCTCCTTTTCATATCCTGAAAAAATTCTTTTCTTGTTCGATTTGAACAGGAACCTCCTATCGATTGCACCAAAAGAAGCAACAGAAGCACAGTATTTCGAATAGTGCCAAAGTTTAAAAAGGAAAAGCTTCAGAAGCAGAAGACAAGTTCACAGCCTGGTAGGTGGTCCACATGGGAAGGGGAAGTGTAACATTATGAAAAAAGAATTGATTAAAGTGATATCATGGAGGACATGAGAATATTCTGGAGCTAGATGGTGGTTGAGCATTGTGCAATATGATGAACATACTGTCATTGAATTCTACACTTTAAATGGTTAAAATGGGGAATTTCATGCTTTATGAATTTTACCATAAAAGAATACCTAAAACACATCAGACTAGCAGTGGGAATCTCTAGTAAGGAAGCACACACAAAAAATGAAGTGGTTGCTAATTTGCTTCTACTTTGTTTAGTGGATGGTAGCATTTCCCTTCAGATGGTTCTTTCTCAACAGCAATTCAAAGCATCAGTGTATAATTTGTTTTTCTTCTTTTAAGTACAATTTTTAGATTACTTTGATAAATGGAATATAAAAACTTTCATTTACTCATTTAATTTGCCAAAGTTATATATATATATATTTTTTCTCCTGTGTTAAGGACACTGTTTCAAACCCTCGGCAATGACAATGTGCTGTGATACTTGCATTCGCAAGCAAAGATTAAGCCCCTTCTTTTGTGCTATTTCTCTCATTCCTTTTTCACCTTTCCTGAGAGTTTAAATGTACAGGTATGCTAGTACTAAACCACCTTCAAATTCTGTTTATACAATGGTAGCTGCCTTTCATAACCAAATCATTTTATAAATTCTTCTCAGTGCACTCTTAAAAAGTGATGTAAAACCTTATTTGTGATATTTATAAAGCAGCTATTGAAAACCATTTAAAAAACAAATATAGCAAAGAAGTAGGCTTTTATTAAGCTAATCAATGTTGAATAAAATGGATAAGCAAATGACACACTAAAAAACAATGTAATCCAACTAATCTCAGAGAGCAGTGCTATGAAATTTTTAAATAACATTAAATTGTGATTAATAGCACATTGATTGCTGTTATTATCAATAGTAGTATAATCAATCAAGATGATACTTGAAGTCAGCAAGACCTTAAGCAGAAAAGTTTGTGTAAAATTGAATAACCCTATCAGATTTTAAATCGTAATTAGCCTTTGTAGATCATCTCAGTCTATAGCTATCTTCATACAGGGTCTGAAGGAAATCATCAGAGCTTATATAGAGTTTGTACCATTGATCCTAATGATGTGAAATACATTTTGTATTCATATTGTGTAGATTGGGTGGCATTAATGAAGAAATTGGACGAAAGCTAAGCACGGGTGCACGGCAGCATTTTGTATAGTCGGATCCTTGTGTTGAGTGTGTAACCTGCATGGGAAAAAGTGGAACTACAGTTTTGTTGAAAAACCACCTTTCACCTTTCTTTTGCTAGCGCTGCCGCTGCACTCTGTTTTGCATCTTCTTTGGCCAGCCCTTGCTTTGTAATGCATTGAGCATGTAGAAATTAAGGGGGTTTTGCTCTTAACTTTGGTAGTTCAGAAATGGGGCACAGAGGAAGTTGCTGCTTGGCTGGATCTGCTCAATTTGGGAGAGTACAAAGATATCTTCATCCGTCATGACATCAGAGGGGCTGAACTTTTGCATCTGGAAAGACGAGATCTTAAGGTATTTCCTTTGTGCTCTTCTGCTCTTGAAAATGTTATTGCAAAATGGAATCTTTTCTCCTGTGCTTCTTCTGATATGTGCTTTCCGCTTCGCTTATGTTATGCAAATGTGTAGTAATCTAACATTCACTGTCCTGTGGTCTGAGTTCCTTCTATGCTTTTTAACAAGAATGTCAGCAGTATTTTCCTGTTGGAATCACTCTATTATAACTAAAGCTTAGCATGAACTTAGTAATTTTCAATGCATCCAGTGATATGACTGTTCCTGTGCTAATATTTCCAAATGGATCATGTTTCTATCAACTGCTTTTATTGGATCAGCATGGAAGGTGATAATTTTGCTGAAAATGACTAAAAAAACTAATATATGGTTAACAACTAAAAATTCATTCAAAATACCAATAACAAAGCCTTTCTAATATATGGAATGAGATGAGAGACTTACAGCAACAGCTAATTAGTGTCTTACAATTTTGTTGTGTTTCCAAATCAGTCCTTCTTGGGTCACATGAGCAACTAGACTGAAAAATTTGAATTTCCTTTCTGTGACATATTGTTAAAATTCTATTATTCTCAAAAAGAAATTTTTTTCTTTAGTAAATGAGGTAAAAATTTTGCCTAGCTTTTGCTAGAAAACAGCTCAGAGCCTATTTGTTACTTATGATGATGGAGAAAACTCATTCATTTACCATCTGTAGCATTTCCCTTTTATTCTTTGGGTAAAGTCTCAGTAGTAGAAACAACTAAATTAGGCTCTGTGGCCAAGGTTTAGGAATAGGATTTTGTCATGTATTTTCTTACCACATACTGCCATTTTAAATTTCTAATAAGTAGTAACATTTGTTGGAATGATCCTTTTCCTGTAGACTAAGTTCTAAAATGCGTTAAATTTTATAATACAGAGAATTCCTAACAGATTATTGAACTGTTGCACCTTCATCTACAAATATGTTAGCAAAGATCTTTGAATAGATAATAAGTAATATAAAGATCTTTTTTCACGAAGAGTTTTAGCACGTCAAAAGGTGAGCACCACTTATACCTAAACAACTTTAGCCATAATAAAAATAAAATAATTAATTAATTACCTTAGCTAGTTGAGAGTCCTAGATCTGGAACACAGCAAAATATGTAGTAGTAGAGTTCATAAAGCAAAAGTTGGCTTCCAAGCTTGAGATGAGTCCACAAAAAAGTAAATGTAGGGGGGATCATGATACCCAACATGTTTGCGTAACTTCTGATATCCTTGGCAGATAGCAATATTTATTAATGATGGATTAAAATATTATGCTACCTTCTCTGCATGACACCTGCCTTCTAGAAGCATGCATCGCATTTGCTTTGAATAAGCGTACATTCAAGGAAAAGACTGTGTGTGTATGTATAAAAATATTCATAAATGCATATATGTGTAAGTATTATAAATTTACATATAAACATATAGATATGTACAGGTACACATGCAATGAAAGAAGCAGAATGAATGTGTAGAGTGGAAAAATATATACTAAGGCAAAGTTAGATAAGAATAGGAAGGAGATGGTTTAGAATTATGTTAGAAAATGTTCTCATCGCTTTTCATGGGACTTTTTTGTTCTGTTTTTTTATTTTTATTTTTAATGCAAATTATATTCTCTTAAAACTTTTCTTTTAGAAATTTGTATTGACATGGATTTGAAAACTCTATTGGGTCTGAAACAAGGTGTGAGTGGGGGATGAGAAAAGGAACATTTCACAGAAAGAGCCTTCTGTAGCACAAAACCATAAAGCTAGAGAAGAGCTCCCCTTGTTCTTTGCAGTTGTAGCCATCAGTAGCGGCAAGCCCTTCAGACTGAAGGCTCTAAATGCTGGTGAGGGATCACTCAGCCCTTAGGTACCCCATTGCTTCCAGTACTACTTATGAATATGTCAGTGACCCACAAGTTCTCTGTCAGCCCTACCTGACCTGATTTGTGAACTTTTAGATTATAGCACCAACTGACTACTTGATAATCAGGTATTATACAGGGATATCAATCTGTTTTTGCTTTTTAAGAATTAATTTATTTTTATTTATACAAAAATATATGGATACGGCCAGGTGCAGTGGCTTACTCCTGTAATCCCAGCACTATGGGAGGCCGAGGTAGGTGGATCACGAGGTCAGGAGATGGAGACCATCCTGGCTAACACAGTGAAACCTGTCTCTACTAAAAATACAAACAAATTAGCCGGGTGTGGCATGCAGCTATAGTCCCAGCTACTTGGGAGGCTGAGGCAGGAGAATCACTTGAACCTGGAAGACAGAGGTTGCAGTGAGCCCAGATTGTGCCACCGCCCTCCAGCTGGGGTGACAGAGCGAGGCTCCGTCTCCAAAAACAACTACAACAACAACAACAAAAAATATATATGGGTACAAGTGCAATTTTATTATATTCATACTGGTTAAGTCAGGGCTTTTAGGGTATCCATTACCTGAATAACATATATTGTACCCACTAAGTAATTTCTTATCCATTCCGTCCCCTCCCCTACCCCTCTGAGTCTCCATTGTCTATCATTCCACTAGGTCCATGTATATACCTTTTTTTAACACCCACCTATGAGTGAGAACATGCAATGTTTGTCTTCCTGTGTCTTCTTGTTTCACTTAAGATAATGACCTCAAGTTCCATTCAAGTTGCTACAAAAGACATGTTTTCATTCTTTTTTAAAAAATTCTTTTCTATGGCTGAATAATAATTCATAGTATTTATATGCCACATTGTCTTTATGCAGTCATCCATTGATGGACACTTAGGTTAGAGAATATCAATCTTAACATGCCCAAAAGCAAGCTCTTGAGCTTCTATCACACTCCTGTTCTACCACTCCTCCAGTGCTCTGCATTTTAGTAAATCAGACCTCTGGCCTTCCAGGCACTCTAGGCACCTTCCTCTTTTTTGTCCATCTTCCCCTAACCCATCAAGCCCATCACCAAGTCATAGTGATTCTAATCTCCGTTCATTAATCTTTGTCTCCTGTTCACAATGCTGCTCCATGCTACTGTCCAGTCTTGCTTGTGTAAGGTCAGTAGCTTCCTAACTGGTCTTTCCACTGCTACTCTTTGTTTTCACAGTCCAGATCCGCATTGCAACTAGAGTGTTATTTTAGCATCATCAATCAGGTATACACTTTTCTGCTTAAACTTCTTATAAGCTTCCCATTTCTAGGGAATAAAAACCCACATCTTTATGCAGGCCTACAAAGTTCTGCCTGTGTATTCAACCTGCTGTGAAGTCTCTGGCCCCTTCCTGGGCTATGCTTCATTCATCTTGGCCCTATTTCAGTTGCTTAATAATATGACACCTTTTCTCACCTTAGGGATGTACTCTCTTTTACTGTGCTTCTTGCCCTTCCCTTCACCTTGTTAACTCCTGCTTAGAGATTAGCTCAAGTGTTACTCCCATATCACCAAAACCACTAGACATAGCAACGTGGCCATCTAAAATATGTATATAAATATATTTTTTGAAGAAAAAAATATATTTTTTTCAAAATATATATATATATTGTATATATAAATCTATATTATAAAGATATATAAATCTATATATATATATATATATCTTTTTTTTTTGAGATAGACTCTCGCTCTGTTACCCAGGATGGGGTGCAGTAATGCAGTCATGGCTCACTGCATCCTCAGCCTCCTGAGCTCAGGTGATCCTCCCACATCAACCTTGTGTGTAGCTAGGACTACAGGTACATGCCACCACACCCAACTAATTTTTTTTTTTTTTTTTTTACAGGGTCTCACTGTGTTGTCCGGGCTGGTCTCAAACTCCTGGCCTCAAGCAGTTGGCCTGCCTTGATCTCCCAAAATGCTGGGATTACTAGTGTGAGCCACCACGCCCAGCCAGGAACGCATTTTCAATGTGATTTTGCAGATAAGGAAGCAAACTGATTGCATAATTTTCTTTGCTAGAACACAGTAGGATTCAAGAAAATGGTAAACATATGGTGAGGGTTTTCTGTTTGGTTTATTTTTTGTTTTTTCTATTTGGAAAGTTTTATATATATGGCTGGAAGGATAACTGAATATCTAGAAAGCATGCTTTGTCAAAATTTGGACTATTTATCCAAGGAAAGAGAAAGTTACTCATAAAGAATATAAGAATTAATATATAATGATATTTGATAAAAATAAAGATATAACAAATGTCACGGCATAACTTTATTACAACCTATACCCTAGAAGACATAAAAATATTGAACTCAAACTAAAACATCAGAAACAATTGCAACAAAAGCCAAAATTGACAAATGATATCTAATTAAACTGAAGAGCTTCTGCACAGCAAAAGAAACTATCATCAGAGTGAACAGACAGCCTACAGAATGGGAGAAAATTTTTGCAATAGATCCATCTGAACAAAGGTGTAATATCCAGAATCTACAAGGAACTTAAACAAATTTACAAGAAAAAAACAAACAACCCCCATTAAAAAGTGAGCAAAGGACATGAACAGACAGGTCTCAAAAGAATACATGCAGCCAACAAATATATGAAAAAAAGCCCAACATCACTGATCATTACAGAAATGCAAATCAAAACCACAGTGAGATACCATCTCATGCCAGTCAGAATGGCAATTATTAAAAAGTCAAGAAACGACAGATACTGGTGAGGCTGTGGAGAAATAGGAACACTTTTACACTGTTGATGGGAATATAAATTAGTTCAGTCATTGTAGAAGACGGTGTGGCGATTCCTCCAAGACCTAGAACCAGAAATACCATTTGACTCAGCAATCTCATTACTGGGTATATAGCCACAGGAATATAAATCATTCTATTATAAAGATACATGCACATGTATGATTATTGCAGCACTATTCACAATAGCAAAGACATGAAATCAACCCAAATGCCCATCAGTGGTAGACTGGATAAGGAAAATGTGGTATATATACACCATGGAGTACTATACAGCCATAAAAAGGAACTAGATCATGTCCTTTGCAGGGACATGGATGGAGCTGGAAGCCATTATCCTCAGCAAACTAAGGCAGGAACAGAAAAACACCACATGTTCTTATAAGTGGGGGCTGAACAATGAGAACATGTAGACACAGGGAGGGGAACAACACACACCAGGGCCTTTTGTGGGGCAGAAGGAGGGAGAGCATCAGGAAATTTAGCTAATGCATATGGGGCTTACTACCTAGGTGATGGGTTGATAGGTGCAGCAAACCACCATGGCACACTTTTACCTATGTAATAAACCTGCACATCCTGCACATGTATTCCAGAACTTAAAATTAAATGAAATTAATTTTTTTAAAAAAAACTATAGCTAAGAGGTTAATGTAACTCTATGGAAAATCTTCTTCTCATTTTATACCAAAATGGTAATTCTAAATACATTCTACCTCCTCCAAAGAAGATTTTGTCTTGATAATACAATGTATATATGGCCTAAAATAAAATATTTAATATTTAAATATATTTTGAATTGGATATCTATGTTTTCACAAAGTGTAAAGATATTTAAATATTCCACTCAAAAAATCTAAATGTGACTGCAAATGCATGTATATTTCAAATTTAGGCAGCAAGCATTGGTATATTCCTCTAGGATTTGGCCTTGCTTTTAAGCTTGATACTTCAGCACATCTTCAGGAAACGTATAGTTGCCTTAGGACTAATTTCGGATGCCCTGTGTCATAGGAGAAAATATTTTTCTGGGTCAGTTAAATATTTATGAAATATCTTAGAATTATCTCAAGCTTGACATAGCATTGGCTAGGGAAAGAGTATTTTCCAGAAGGATTCATTACTGCTAAAAACTCCAAGAGCTCTTAAAGGGTAAGAGGGAGAGAGAGAGAGAGAGAGAGAGGCAATGACAAAAGAGTTAAACCAGTTTGATCTATTTCATTTAAAAGTTGAAAAATAAATTACAAACAGGGTGGCTATTTGGAGTCTTTGTCTTCTCAGACAAGTTATTTTATTTTATAACCTTGTTTTTTTAGGCTGTTTTGTAAGTCACCTTTTTGATAATTTTCAAATATTTCAGTTTTTTGAAGAAGTTTGACTTCACATGTTAGCACACTGACTATGCCCTTTCACTTAAAGAAGCTAGGATTTGGAGGCCTTAACTCCTTCTTTTAGTTTTTCAGAGTGCATAACTAGTGGTTATTCACCCTTGGGTAGGTTTAATTCATTCCTGCAACAAATATTTGCAAAGTACCTGCTGTGCACACTCTGCAGTCATCATCTATTTCTGAAAGTTAAATATTGAATTCTTGGCACTTATAGGAAGAAGTTTATTTAAGAAACAAGAATAATAGTTTTGAGAGAAAAGAGCTAATAGTGTTTTGAGTGAAAGCATCAACCAACAGATAATCATGTTTAAGTAATTTTTTACACACGTATGTTACAAAGTATAAAGACTATTTAAATTAAATATTTGTCTCAAGTCAAAAACTTGTAATGCAACTGCAAATGCATTTACAGTCCAAATTTATGTAGCAAGTACTGGTATCTTTCTCTAGAATTAGGTCTCACTTTTAAATTTAATATTTTAGCACAAGAAATGTTGCCTTAGGACTAATTGTGGGTGCCCTGATGTCCTGCATCATTTTTTTCCCAGAGATTCCAAAAGAACCTTTCAAAGAGAGAGAGAGAAAGGAAAGTAAAAAGAAGGGAGGGAGGGAAAGAAAGAGAGAGAGAGAGAGAAAAGGAAGGAAGGGAGGGAGGGAGAGAGAGAGGAAAGGAGGGAAGGAGGTATCAGAGACTAAATTGGTTTTGACTCTTGAAGGACTGCCACTGTGTGTAATTTCTGAGAATGTCACAGTTCAGGTTTTATGTAGAATGTGATTTTTTTGGTACCAGCTGGCAGTTCTTTAGTGTCAGGTTATTTTTGTTTTATGAACTTATTTTTCTAGCTTTCACTTCTTGTATCACTGAATATAAACTAAAATGAATGAATTGAATGCTAATTATGTTTCTTGCTGGTTAAATATTTAATCCTCAGTTTTCTATTATTGATAAACTTTTTTCTTTTCTTTCATTTTTAAAATTTTCTTTCTGCCTTTTTTTCCTTTCATTTTTAATTCTTTCTACCTTTTTCTGTTCTTTTTCTTTCTTTTTTTTTTTTTTTAGGACCTGGGGATACCGAAAGTGGGCCATGTGAAGCGAATTCTCCAGGGAATTAAAGAGCTCGAAAGGTGCACTCCACAGTCGGAGGTGTGATCATATTGGTGCTATTCCTTGGAAAAGAAGTAATTGCCACTTAATACAAAGTCCTTAGAAGCAAGTGGCTGTCCTTGTACTTTTCTGCATAGATAAGTAAGCACCACTGAAGCACCTCTGTGGCTTGATATTTTGCTGTGGGTGAAATTTTGATTTGAGGTATTAGAAAACATTTTTGTGCCAAAAAATACATTCCACAAAGCCATTTTCTTCCATGCAAACCTGACACGTTCAAATATATTCACCAAAGTAATAAGGTAGGAGGAATCTGAGATGATTGCATTGTCTAAAATGTGGAATTGCAAAGTTCACTTTCCTAAGATCTGGTCTGATGGAATGTTCTTACTGTGCAACTGCATAACAATAAGTGGTTAAAACTTCCAGGGTTTCATTATTGGAGGCATTGGCCATTTTCTTAAAATCATAGGTTAGGAGACTAAAATATAAATTAAGTTGTGTTTTGAATGTAGGTTGGTATCACCTCCGACTCCTAGTGCTTAGTGGTCGAAGAATATGTTGAAAACCGGTCAGATATTATGAATGAATGCAAATCTTAATGCACGATGTTCCTGCCTGAAATGTCTTTCTTTTTCTTGCATGTCACATCTAATATTGTAACACCTTAATAGCTTTAATGTCAGTTTTAATGGGATTTAATTTATTACTAAAGTACATTTTTGTTGGCTAAGGGCACTGCACTTTTCTGTTTTTTAATGTGGAATTTTGTGTAAATATTCTGTACCTCAGACTTTGTGAACATATGTCTGTGCCATAATCAACAAATGATATACATTTTATGCAGATCAATTTTATTTCAATCTGTCATAAGCAGTAGGCGTGCACATTAAGAAAATTCTCTGGGTATTTTCATAAAATTACATGTTCCTTTACCTGACAAATTTGTTGGAGCTTTCCAAACCAAAATTTCCACATTTTGTTTCTAATTTTAAATTTCAATTTAATAATTATTTAATATTCTATTTGAATTTATAATAGACTATTGATATCCAGAAATTCTCTGAGGTCCCAACTGAGATTTATATACTGATGGATAACCCAGACTTACCCACTGTCTACAATGTCTTCTGACACGTACTTCCCAACAGAAGGGATTTAAATTTTTTTCTAGTTGCTATTATTATTATCTCACTTAATTCTTAATTCCTGTCTGGTGGATATTATTTTCCTTTTTCTAAACCACTCTACTTCAGTGTAGCTTATTAGAAGTCAACATTACAATGATCAAATCTTTGAAAGCCAAAGGCATACGTATCAAAAAGTTACAAAAATATCCTTAAATAAGTTTTCTTTAGCCATTATATACCAAAATATAAATTATAATATTTGAAAGTATTATATGTAAGAGAAACAAATAGGGTACTGACTCAGTGGTGGCAATTTTCATAAAGTAGCCTGCTAGGTGCTTAATAGATATATACACACACAGATATATACATATACACATGTGTATATATACATACATACACATATACATTTATATGTATATATACACCTACATATATATAATCTTGAGATATAGCATCATTGATATTTTCTGGACAATTATTTCCCCAGTGTTTAAAGAGAAATACTAATAGAGCATTTAAAATGAACTATTGTCAGGCATATTATTTAATTACATGAAAGGAGTTTATTTGACGTTTTTGTTTATAACTTGGGTATTAAACTACTAATAAAAATCACAAAATCTGGATGTCTTTAAGATAAATCACCCTGAAGTTCCTGAGCAAGTATGTCTGACTATATATTTTACCTAAGTTGTAAATAAATGGAAATTTTCCAAAGACAGTTATATCAAGTAGTTTAAAAAGAGTCATGAGGCTGGGCGTGGTGGCTCACGCCTGTAATCCCAGCACTTTGGGAGGCTGAGGTTAGGAGTTTGAGACCAGCCTAACCAATATAGTGAAACCCCATCTCTACTAAAATTACAAAAATTAGCCAGGTGTGGTGGTGGGCACCTGTGATCCCAGCTACTCAGGAGGCTGAGGCAGGAGAATTGCTTGAACCCAGGAGGTAGAGCTTGCAGTGAGCTGAGATCACACCACTGCACGCCAGCCTGGGTGACAGAGCAAGACTCGATCTAAAAAAAAAAATTGTCATGAATTAATTATTCTAATTTTATCTGCACTTATGAAGTCAGAGGTCTCCTTTTTAGTCCCTCTGATAGTCCCACCCAAGTGCCGTCCTGCTCCTGTAAACACTTTCCTGTGAAACCAAATAGGAGGTGCCAGGTTCCCAGAACTCTTCTGACATTGCAGATCTCTGGCCATCTGTA